AAAAAAAAAAAAAAAAAAAAAAAAAAAAAAAAAAAAAAAAAAAAATTGTATGACTAAATTACGGCTTAATGGTCATGGACGGTCTTGAGAAATCGAAATACAAATTGAATTTATAATTAAATGATTATTTTGAGTATTTAATCTCTTACCGAACGCCTGCTCACAGCAGTAGTAGTTAACAATTAGTATTAATAGCGACGAGTATACGAAAACAAACAAAGATTTCAATTGACAAACATTATTAAAATGAAACGAGTTACGATTCTCCAGTTGTGTTCTGTTCTCGCAATTGTAAATAGCGAAGCAGGAGCACAGTCATTGCGTGTACGTTTTCCAGGACCAGCACATGTTAAACAACTGCCAGCTTCTGTTGAGGGATTGGGAGGCCGCTTCGATCCCTATCCAATAGCTGGACAAAAACCGCAACCACCGTTTGAGTTGCCTTCGATTGGTGAAATACGAATTGCCTACTCATCGCCATTGACTATTTCCGCTGCCCTCGAATTTATACATGAAATTGCCGAACCTCAACTAAACTACGCACCTGCTTTGCAAGAAGCCAATGTAAATTCCGCGATAATTGTAAATGCTCCTCCTGCACTGCAAGTATCCACCCAGCTCACTACGCCGCCAAGAGAACACATGATTACATTGCGTCCTCAATCACAAATCTTTACTACTAACAGGGCACCACCGCAACCCGCACTATATTTAACTGTTCCAAATGTTAAGCGCATAAAAGAGTTTCGTCCTAAGCATTTTCAAAATCAGTCATCAGACTTTTATTCTAAAAGTCAATTGACTCCTCCGCGGGTGCAACGTGAAAAGGAATTTCGACCCAGCTATGATCCTTTACGACCACAACGGCCAATGAAATTTAGTCGGCCGCTGCCAAGCAGCATTTTTGAAACTTCAAATGGTAACGGGCAGTCACGTCGCCCCCGGCCACTATCAACGAATATATTTTCTGTCTAAAATCTAAAAGGAAAAAATCTGTTCTAACGATCTCTTTTTCCTTCTCTCAATTAATTTAATAAACTAAGAGCTTCTCAAGAAATGATGGCTAATGGACTTTAAAATTCTATAATCATAGTCAAGCAAGTTTTAGAACATTTAAAGCACATATGCACAACAGCTATGTCAATTTATTTCGATAACATTCCCGAAGACAATGTTTCTCTTATAGTTAGGAAAGAAAAGAGGTAAGAAATTGAATTCGGTCGAGATCGAATCTTTTACACCCTTCACCCAAAATAACAAAACAAAAAAAAAACAAAAACAAAACAAAAGAAATAAAAGAACAAAATTTTCATGCTCGATAATATGAATAAAATGTTTATATATAAGAGATTCAGATTAAATAGATAACTGAAACCCCCTACATAACACCGGCATAATCTTCTCATCCATTGCTAACGAATCAAGTATCATTTGCTAATTTGATATGTGGAAATAAACGCAATGGTTACGATCTCGCAAATTCAGCAACGTAGTGTAAAGAGAGCATACATTTCGCTTCTTACTTAAGAAAGGCAAAACTATTATAACCATATGCTTCGCGGGGTAAAGAAATTGCTAGGAGCACTTTCCTTGAATTGCAATTCCGTTTAAATCATAATCGATTCTATGCAAAGATGTTGTATTGATAGGAACGATTCGATGGTAGATTCATCACACCTACTCTATTTTTTAAATAGTAATTAATTATCAGAATATTCTTTATTGTAACACTTATGGAACTAATATTGTGTTAAGTTTGAGAGTTTCCACTGGTCGGATTACAATAAAGAAGACATTTTCAAAAAACTAACAAAACATAAATATCCGCTAAACTTAATATACCCTGTACGACAAGTGCTGTAGTATATAATAATGTAAATAAATAAATAAATAAATATATATATATATAGATATGTAATAAATAAACATATGACATTCGATTTTTCAATATGTAATTTTAGATACAAACCAGTCATTTCAAAAGAGATTTTGGACGCAAACCAAATAATAAATAAGAGTGCTATGGTAACACAAGCAGATTTTAGTACAACAAAGTGTTCTATTAGCGGACAAATGGCATTGCCAGCATAACATAATAAATAGTCAATTGACACTTGAAAGTAAATTTGTGATTGACATCTGGCAATAATAAGACAATAAATATTCGCCTTTGTCATCTAATATCAACGGAGAGTCGTCAGAGTCGCTTATTAAATAATATAAAAATCAATGCGAAGGAATATTCAATTTTTCTTTTTTATAATTCATTCATTTTATCAAGAAAAGTAAAACGAACTTTTTTTTATTTATTTAGTGTATAAAGTGTGTTTAGAATACATAGAAAATAAATACTTATGCCTTTGCAACGTGAAAAGGTTGATATAAAATACGGCACTCATCACACCCCAACCTGTGTGTCCATTACCAACACCACCACCACCGACAAAACCAAGAAAATAAAACACGTCGACGGCGAAAATGATTTGAGACATTTTCGATTAAAATCATATAAATCAAAAATTTCAAATACCTCCGGCTAAAAGAATCGGAATCGTTATTGGACGACAGTTTATAATTGGAATTCTTTTTCGTATCATTTTGTTAAGAGTTAGAGTCTTTGTTGTTTTAGTGCTAAGCAATTTTCGTGCTATTAAACCAATACGAGGTGTGGGTTATTCAGTTCAATTATATGTAAAATCATTTGTCGTTCTCCTTATTATCAGCAGCCTCGTACGCCGTTGACGCCATCATCGTCAACACCATCAAAATTCAACATTTTAAGAATTTTTAGGTAAGTTGGGAAAAATTCCATTTTATTTCCGCAAGTATATGAAAAGGTAAAAAACTGTATGCCAACCGGGATGCACATGCACTTTTCAAATCATATATATATGAGATTTTTTTTTTTTTTTTCTGTATATTCATGAATGTACATAATAACGATGAGCGAATGACATTTAGCTAAAGAGATGAATGTGCTTTGAAGGTGCCTATGTACATACATACGTGCACACATATTATTTTTTTTTTTTTCTTTATTTTGTTGTTTTGCATTGCGCACACCATACGCACACTTGAATATAATGCCATTGACCGTAAAGTTTTTCCTTTGCCGGCAGTAAGGCTTTTATTTTATGCATTTATATACAAAAAAGTTCTTTTTTGTTTCAATTAGAAGAATTCATACAACTATCAGAATTAGAAAAAGCGTCGACATGCATATCTCTTTCGAATCAAACACTGGGTGGGTTGGATCACTCTTACTGTTTCTATTTAATACTGATTAAGGATGAACGAGGACTCGATAAAGCATTTTGAATTTTATGCAAAATTATAATACAGGTCTCGTCATGAAACTTATCACTTGCACTTTTGCATTCATGAATCAATGAACTTTGATGATTTATTGGGATATTCTGGCATTTAGCCATTTATTGCCCCATACTCATGGTATTTTACGAATAAGAAAATGTGTACTTTTTGTATTTTCACTTGGACTACTGTTGGTTAGAAGAGTAATTAATTAATATCTATTCCAAGAGATAATTTTCATTAATTACTATTTCATATTTTATTGCAGTTATGTCATCTACCGCCGGTAAAAGAAAAGAAATTTACAAATATTTGGCACCATGGCCATTATACTCTATGAACTGGAGTGTGCGTCCGGATAAACGATTTCGCTTGGCGTTAGGTAGTTTTATTGAAGAATACAACAACAAAGTCCAAATAATTAGTCTCGATGAAGACACAAGCGAATTCAGCGCTAAAAGGTATAATAATATATAAAATATTATATGTATTATAATAAACCAGTAAATATATTTGGATAAACGCAGTACTTTCGATCATCCATATCCTACAACAAAAATTATGTGGATACCTGATTCTAAAGGCATATATCCAGATTTATTAGCCACTAGCGGAGATTATTTACGCGTTTGGCGTGCCGGCGAACCGGATACACGGCTGGAATGTGTACTCAATAATAATAAAAACAGTGATTTTTGTGCCCCGCTAACCTCATTCGATTGGAACGAAGTTGACCCCAATTTGGTGGGTACTTCTTCTATTGACACCACCTGCACAATATGGGGCTTAGAAACGGGGCAACCACATGGACGTACACATGTAGCCGGCCATGTAAAAACACAGCTAATTGCCCACGACAAAGAGGTATACGATATTGCGTTCTCCCGTGCCGGTGGTGGCCGTGATATGTTCGCCTCGGTCGGTGCTGATGGTTCAGTGCGAATGTTCGATTTGAGACATTTGGAGCATTCAACTATTATTTATGAGGTCGGTTGAGTACGATATATACGGGTATATGAGTATTGTAAAGTGCATAGTTATCTTTATTTTAAGGATCCCACGCATACAGCTTTATTACGTTTAGCTTGGAATAAACAGGATCCAAATTATTTAGCCACCGTTGCAATGGACTCGTGTGAAGTTATTATTTTAGACGTTCGTGTTCCTTGTACCCCTGTTGCAAGACTGAGCAATCATAGAGCGTGCGTCAACGGTATTGCGTGGGCGCCGCACAGGTACGTCGATTATAAAATAATTACAAACATTCTCCCGGAGGTACTATTTATAAGTCTACAATTTATTTTATGACCAGCTTTAAACGAAACGATAAATATTTTACGTTGAAACAGTGCATGTTTGAAAGCATGTTCATACATTAATCAACAATTTTCACAAAGTAGTGTAGACACAGCTTTAAATATACTCAATATGGGCAGGGGGGTCACTGTCATAAGCCGTAGCCATGGAAAGAAATTAGTATAATGTTAATGAATTAAAAAATGTGTAGACAGAGAAAAAGAAATCTTAATTTAAAAAATTAAGTAAAAAAAATCGCTTATTTATTTATTTTTTTCTTTCTTCATTATATTATTTAGTTCCTGTCATATATGCACTGCCGGTGATGATCACCAAGCACTGATCTGGGATATACAGCAAATGCCACGAGCAATTGAGGATCCAATTTTAGCTTATACAGCAGCCGAAGGTGAAGTCAATCAAATTCAATGGGGCGCAACACAACCCGATTGGATAGCAATATGTTATAATAAAGCATGTGAGATCTTACGTGTCTAGAAGAGAATTGTGATAATAAACACAAGGGAAGCAAAGCAGTTGCATCAAATAAATATGAAATGGAAGAGGAGGGAAGAAGGGCAACGGCAAAATATATGCAACAGTTGCTATGTAATGATCATCATCGGAAGCAGCAACAACAACAATGAAGTTATGATGCTCACCAAGTTAGAAGACAAGAAGATGAAAAACTCATATTCGTATATGCACAGCAGCCGCAACCACAGCCACAACAAAATTATTTATTAAATCTACAACTACAACAAACAATACTATAACAACAAGAACAACAACTACTATTAATATTAATAACGATAATGTGTAAGTGCAAAAAGAAAGAAAAGCCAATAATACCAACATTTTCAATCGGTAGTAAAGTAAAACGAAAGACGAAAACAAAAAAAAAAAAAAAACAAAAAAAGAAGCAAATACTCTTTAGGAAATCTTGTGTCGTTAAGAAGAAAAGAGAAAGTAAATGCGATTTTCTAATTTCAAATCTTAAATAATTTTTTTTGAAGACAGATAGAGAAGACGGATTGACAAAGAACAGAGTAATGATAGTTATTATCATAATTAATTAAATGTAATTTTTTCTTTCTTTTATGTAAAACTATTCATTTTATTTTTATGTGTATGCTTAGATAAAACCGAAAGTTTCATATCTACAAAAATGTAGCCCTTCGGTTCGATGATGAGAAAATGAAGAATACAATGCAAACGAGATTTTTATTTATTTACGCTTATTTCACTTCTTTAATTTCATAATCGTCCGAATTTTAACGTGAAATGTTTTAAATACATATAGTAAACCGGAAAAAGCAAAAATTATCCTACCTCGTGTTACCAACGTAATTGAGTTGAAAAGCAAGACAAAAGCACGAAATTTAATAATAAATAACATATGAAATAATATATATATATATATTTATGTGAAAGTTTTTTTTCCCCCTTATGTTATTTATATATTTATATATTTTGTTTATTTATTTATTTATTTTTTTTTTGTTTAAATCTTTATTTTGAGAATATAATTGACAGTTCGTCGGTATGCATACATATATTGAGAACATCATCTTTATTATTAGTAGTTCCATATTTGAATGATTTGATTTGATTTAAAAATCATCGAATCGATTTTCCCGAGAAATCGAAATCCATATAGCCATGTTGCAGTTTCCTTACAATATTTCGAAAATGATTAATTTTTAAAATTATTTATTTATTCTTGTAGTAATAGGTATGGATGTGTAACAATTTCATTCGATATTTATATAGGCATATATTTGATTTCTCTAAACAACTTTAAGTAGTTTGTAAATTTTACACTAAACTGACATTTAAAATAGTTTTCGTCGAACTGGGTTTTCAAAAGAATGTTGGATTTTAAAATATATTTCAAAAATCATATTAAAAATATTTTCTGGTGCTCGCACTCTTTCTCATATAATAGAAAGTGGGTTTAAGCCGATATTTGTCATAGTTCATAGATAGAAAAAAATCATATTTTTAGAATTTTTATTGGGTAGTCCTGGAGATGATTCTGAAATTAAATGTTAAGCGTTTCCTTTGATTTTCAAAGAAACAAAATGACCGAGTGTTCAATTTAGTAAATTGCACGGTTCGGTAAATTCCATTCATTTTTAAGATTTCAAACGCGACTGTTATGATCTTGTACGAACAATTTTTTTTTTTTTTCTTCGTTTTCATTTAGTTTGACATTTTTAAGCGCGCTAGTGAATTGTTTTTTTTATTATTAGATAGCATCGAAAATATTAAAAAAATTTTTTATTTTTTTTTTTTTTTAATATTTCTGAGAAGAGCTTATTATTGCCATTGATATATGTGAGCATGATGTACAATAATATTCAGTGTGATGGATTTGAATTTTTTTGATCACCGACGTATAATTTATAATGCATGTTTATACATGTACTCGCCTACCTGGCGTCATGTCCACTTATAGGCTCTTCGTGATCATCTTTGCAATTTTCGCGAGCATAAGATAATTAAAATCCATATGTGTGTACTTTTAAAATTTTTTGTCTTTTTTCCACGGCTAGTTGCATTTATGGATAACTCAGTTTGACCACACCTGTCTGTTAAAGCGCTTTTTCGTATGCAGCTGAAGCATGCATCAGTTGTCACGACAAACAAGCATTGAACAGCGAACGACTATCATCATCTACTTGCGTTTATTTTGCCGACTTTCTGAAGCATAATTTTCGAGTGTGACGAATTAAGTGAATAAAAAAGTATAACTTGTAGTTCTAAGTAACTGATTATTTTCAATATATAAATATGTAGGTCTACAACGATGAAACTTTTACAATTTATAAAAGTAAAAAGTATTGGGAAAACGTTCGAATCTATTTGTTCGCCCTTAGAATTCACTGATATAAGTGTTGTAAGCACTGAGTAAAATCCAAATATTTTTTCATTCAATTTGGTTGCTATTTTCGACTCTTACCTTACGTCCAGAGGAACAGCATTGGATATCGTTTAGGCAGAAAATTAATTTATCTAATATCCGGGTTGAAACCAAAAACAACAAAACAAGGAATATTTATCCTTCAAGATTTTTGCAGAATTCTTTTAAGTGAACATATAAGTCGCAGTCCTTATTGGTTTAGTCCAGTCAATCTCAGTAAATCAAAAAAAAATTAGTTAAATTCTTAACTTAATATAGTAAAAATATAGAAATAGAAATTTCGACGCTCAGAGAAAATTTCGAAATATCTTTAACATGAAGAAAATTTAATCACACCGCAGATCCTAGGTGCTGGAGTCTACCATCCATTAATCAGGTCTTGACTTTAGATCATAGCGGGTATCGTTAGTAAACAGAAAAACAAACCAAAGATCTTGTTATGCACTTGAAGAGTTTCTAAATGGCATCTTTTGAGCTTTCAATCAGATAAAGGAAGTAGAATGAAAAGAGTGACACGTGGCTATGAACAGACGTAAGTTTCTAATCTTGATTTCAACAATTATATCAATACGGCATGTGATCACTATCAGATACCGATACGAACTAATGCTTCTTATGTAATCGCATCCTTTCTTTACCGTTATTGTTTTATTGTTTTAATTATTTATTTATTTATTTTTTTTGATGATAACTAGAACAACATAATATGTATATATATATATATATGTTAGGCATACATATATAGATATATATATAGGTATATATATATAGGTATAAATATATAGGTATATATATAGGTATACATATATAGGTATATATATACGTATATTTATATAGGTATATATGTCAGAAAATATTTTTCAAATTACTAAAATAATTTGCAATAAATTATTTTATTAACGTTTTTCCTTTTTTTATCGTCTTTTAAATAAAAAACAAAATTCGACTGAATTTAGACAAAGAAAAAAATAGAAGAAAAAAAAAATTGAACAAAATCAATCAGATAACAACACAGAGAAGAAAACACATATGAAAATAAAAACAGATGGAAAACTACACAAAAATAGAATTAAAAAAAAAAAAAAAAAATGCATTCAAGTAAACCAAATATGTATATTTTTATGGTTTTTTTTTTTTATACATAAATTAAAAAAAAAAATGAGTTTCAGAACAAATTAAAAAAAAAAAATTATATTTTCAAGAAAACAAAGAACAAAATGGAACTGAAAAATCTTTCTTTTTCATTTACTCACATAAATATTTTTCTTCGTATTTTTCTTTGTATTGTATGCTGTGTAACACACCTACACGTAAATCACGTACAATAGAACTGATACATTATAAAAAAAAAAAAAAAATATTACTAACAAATCATTAATAAGAAAAAACACAAGAGTAAAGAAAAACATAATCGCCACCACTATAAATTTGTATGTAATAATAAGTTTATTGTTAAGAAAAAAAAAAAAAGCCCAAAAAGCAAAATCTCAGATATTCTGTAAAAAGTCATCATTATATAAAAAAAAATAATTTTAAAAAATAAAACAAAAAAAAAAAAAAAAAAAAAAAAAAAAAAAATGAAACCAAAAAACAATTCTATCCTGCGAGAGAGAAAATAAGATTGTTATCAACCAAACTGACAAAAACAAAAAGAAGACAAAACACAAAAACAAAGCAAAAACTCTATTATTTTTCATAATCGAATAATTATTTCGTTTTTCAACGCATTTGTAATTTTGTTCTTTTTTTTTTTTTTTCTTTTTTTTTTTTGTTCCTTTGTTCTATTGACAGTTTTCTTATGCTAATATTTATTTTAATTTATATTTTACTTTAGGCTTTTAGGGTATAAAAAATAATCCTTGTTTCTTATTTTCTTTCTAGAGCAATTAAAAAATTTAAGTACACAAGAGAACATCGAAATTGGAACGCATTTTATTAATAACAAGTTCAATAATATTCACAAGAGGACAAGTACTTTGATAAAATTCCATTCTATTACCTTTGCATAATAATATATTTTCATAAATTCTTGTACAATTTTTGCTGAGAAAAATAATTTCAATAATTACAAGATATTTTCAAAATGACATAGTAATCGAAAACATACTTGAAGTGAAGGGAATGCTTCGCTACTCTGAGATCATTTTTAAAGTTCAGTTACGTTTTATATAATCTTTAAATATTGCTTAAAAATTATGGTGTAGTAAGTAGTGGCGTGGCATCAGGAAAACCAAGGTTTTGAAAATATAAATATTTTCATTGGAGTAAATTAAGCACATCTGTTAGATGGCCAAATTAATGGCTCTGTTCACTTTCTCGCATAAACCCATAAATATTCGTTCATATACATCCAACTATTTTTTTTTTTTTTTACACGATGGCTACGTTCCTTAGGAAACAGAACAAAAGAAAAAAAAAAAAAATCGTGCAAAAAAATACATGCGACTTGTGGTGAATTTGGGGATATCTGGCATATTTTTAAAAAAGCGTATAAAATTAAAAAATTCTAAATATTTTCAAAAAAAAAACAAAAAAAAAAAGAGGAAGAAAAAAATATTTTTCCCATATTTATAGCAAATTCCGATCCTTCGCGACTTCTTTATTATTATCAACTGTCATAATGTTCAATAAAACTGTCCTCATCCAAAGGGCTTTCTCGAATCAATTCATCGATGTCAGTGGATGTCGCCACAAATAACATTTGATAAAGTTAAAATTTTCGAATACAAAGTTGATTTTCCGCTTACGAAACTTCCACTTTTGACGCATGCCGGTAAAATTGAAACGAAACAGTTAAGGAAGTTAATTATATTCAGCGGAAGCTGCATATCGCATACCTACCACTATGCTTTTCTCATTCTACTACCCAAGCTCTTTTGTTTGATACCCATATCGCTGGAAAGAAAAAATTAAACCACCAGGACGCGGTGACTACCATATTCATCTTAAAATTAACCCATTTTTAGGCAAACAATCTATCTTCATTTGAGCAATATACAAAATAGTTTTAAACATTCTGTTTTGTTTGCCTTATGATAAATAAGAGTGAAAAAAATAACATTTAATTACTTGTAACTTTGTATGGCCTTGGCTGAATTTTTCCATTTTGTCTCATTGAAGAATTGAATGTTTCATCAAGTAACTGTGAAAAGTTTCAGCTTTATTGACTTTGAGTAACCAGACCACAAATAACCAAAAATTTGTATTAAAAAATTTGAGTTGCGTTCAGTTTACGCTCCACTCGCGGCTCGTGTTCCATTACGCTTCTGCTTTACATTAGATTATCTTCAAATTTTTATAGATTTATCTGTCATAGTTTACGGGGGAATACGTAAAAAAACCAATTTTTTATTCCTCTTATTTGTAAAAACAGAGGTGTTCTCAGTTTTCATGGTGCTGCGAGCGTGTTCTTCGACCGATTTGGCTCATTTTGCGTGCAAAAATTTCCAATGTTTTTACCAAATTTAAAGTCGATATCAACCCATATAGACGGACAGATATAGCTTAATCAATTCAGAATTTCACACTGATCAAGAATATGTTTACTTTATAGTAGTCTCTGAAGCTTGTAAAATAAGTGCACTTCCATCCTTCCGTGGCAGGTGTAAAAAGAAATTTTTTTTTTTTTTAGGATTTGTGGTAGAGAAAAAAAAAATTGGTGTTCTTATCAGTGAACCGTGTTATTTCAAATTGGGCAAGAAAATATCGTGTAAAAAAAGAGCTAAAGGAAATATTGCAAAAATTTATTTTTTTTCACGTTCAATTTCTCGTAATACATTTTCTACCTACATACGATTAAAAGATATGATGACTTTTTTTATTTATTTATCATTTATTGATTCGAAATTATCTTTGACGCCAATTACAATTTTTACAACTATATATGTATAAATATATCTATATGTATATGTAGGTGTTTCGACGCGATGTTATTATTGACCGTTCGAATATTGAAACGTGATCGTATAGTGCTAATTAAAATCCATAAATTGAGCTTAAAATTAGATTTCAGGAGATTAGATCCATGTATTCCTCAGGAAATAACAAGTAACACGACAAAAATTAAAAGATGATGGGTGTAACTCATTTAAGATCCTTTAGCGGATCAAGTACATTTCTTCGTATAAGAAGAGATACCCAAGATTAGTTCACTGTGTTGAAGTATATTCACATTTTCCATCTGTTTCATGGATGTCGGAGATATTGAAATGAAGCACTTCACAACGTTATACTGTCGTCCAGAGGCGAACATCTGAGATGGGCTGCCCATATAAATCGCTATTCTGAAAAATTAGTTCCAATATTTATCGAAAAAAATCGTTGATAATTTATTACTTGGCCACACTATAACATACAAATGTAGAGCACTTGAATGCGGTGGGAGGGAGATCTTGTTTTGAATCACCTTCGGTATAATCGTTTGTAAAAATTAGTCCATTTATGGTGGAGAATGAGGGTAAATTTAGTGCGTAAAATTCAATGTCCAATTTTTTGTTTGTTGTGTTAGTGAGTGTGAATGGCTGGGGGAACGCCTGAATACTTTAACAAATTAACTGAATTAAAATTTCCAAGGTCTTCTTCCATATTTCATGAATTGTTCAAAAAATCACTTTTTAGACATTTTTTTCACATAATTGCTTTGAAATTTCTAGTCATGACATTTAGTCGATAGCGTAGGTCAGATAATAGTCGACCACATCTGAATGTATCATTTTAATCTGGTTATTTGTTGTGTGGGCGATATTTTCCTTTTTGGCGAACGGAAGAATATTTATCGCAGTTACTATATAGTTAGGCCGATGGACAGAGGGACAGACAAGCAGTGTATTCCGAATTTGTAATTGAGCAAAACTCTATGTGACTTGAAGCTTGCCTCTGCACGTTATAAGCTTATTGAAGAAAAATAATTAAACTTTAATATACTATAGTTTTGAGTAGGCGTGGTCAATTTTCCCCATTTACGTGCAGATGTTGCAACATCATCCACAGCAAATTTGAGGCCGACCGCTTAATTTTTGCGGCCAAGAGAATGTTTACAACAGACTGTGCATAGACGGACAGAGGAACATGCTTAAATCGATACAGAATATCGATATATATATATATATATATATATGTATGTATGTTTATGTACTTTGTGGGATCTCTGAAGCTTCGTTCTGGGCGTCGTAAACGTTTTGCTCGTATGCATATATCTCACATCGTACGGTGAAGGGTATACAGAAACACTATCGATCAGGAAATTACATACGATGACAGTTATCGCTATAAAATCTGACACACGAGTAAGCTGTCACAGTGACGCGCAGGAATTGAGAAAACCGAACAAAAAAAAAAAGAAGAAGTAGAAGAAGAAGAACTAAACAATAACTGTATATTTATTTCTTATTTTAAATTTCTTAAAAATTTTCCGGTAGCTTTGGTTATCCGTACCAAAATACGAAATATTCTCTGTTTGGATGTTTGCTTTTTTCTTTATTATTTCCTATTCCAATCTACTATTGCAATAAATTCTAAAAAGAAAAGAAAAGAAAAAAAAAAAAAGAAGAGAATAGAGAGAAACTTAACGATTTGAATGAGTCGATTGCATGCGGTTTTTGGGGCAAACTCCTCCATTTATGGAAAGAATTGATTTAGTGTAAAAAAATGGTTGCTTGGTCTAGCGTACGCAAATTTACTGCCATCGCTCTTGGCACCGGAGCCGGTTTAGGCGCCTATTTGTATCACCGTTTAGGATCGGATGAGAGAAAGGTGCACGCGTTATGGACAATTAGCGATACAACGGTTAATCCTTACGCTTTATGGGATAGTAATTGGGATTATCGCAGTCCAAGGTATTTAGTGAAACCTATAGTAAATACTAGCACGCAAGAAGAAAATCGTTATAATGATGATATTGAAAGAGTAACACCTCGCTCGGTAAGGCATATAATATTAGTACGTCATGCTGAATATATGCATGCCGGCGATACAGATGATACGCATAATCTTACGATGAGGGGATGCGTGCAAGCGAAATATACAGGTAGACGTTTAAGAGAGTTGGGTGTAAGGTGGGATAAAATTATTATATCAACAATGACTAGAGCCCAGGAAACTGCAGATATTATTTTGAAAGAAATTGATTTTGATCCTGAGAGATTGGTGAATTGTTCCTACATACGTGAAGGGGCGCCGATACCTCCGCAACCTCCAGTAGGACATTGGCGTCCTCCGAAAGCGTTCTTTCGCGACGGTGCACGTATAGAGGCGGCTTTTAGACGTTATTTTCATCGGGCCTTGCCCACTGAAAAAGAAGACACTTACACACTGATCGTGGGTCATGGCAATGTTATACGTTATTTTGTCTGTCGGGCCTTGCAATTTCCACCGGAGGCTTGGCTGCGCATCAATATTAATCATGCCTCGATCACATGGTTGACTATACACCCATCCGGTAATGTGACAATAGAGTGTTTAGGTGATTCCGGTTTCATGCCTCCAGAATATTTAACAAATCGTGTACCAGTTCTATCAAAAGGTTTACTTTAATTATTATTTAAAAAAAAAAAAAACAAAAACAAAAACAAAAAAGAAAACAAACCAAACTCGGAACCATGAACTTTCACGAACTATATACCCGAAGAAGATGAACGATATGATTTGTAAATGGAGAAGAACCCTTTGATATATACTTTAAATCAACTAACTATATACTTCGAATTGATCTGATTTGATCTGGAGGAATTACATTTCATAAATTTTTAATTAATATTAAGTAAATAAAATTTGCCATAACAGAGTACCGTAAAGGAGGAAGGGGGAAGGGCGACATATATATCAACATTCCATCATCCTGATTGCTATTTGTACTTGGGGAAAACGGCTAAGATATGTATGCGATTCGAATTTGAAGAGATGCTTGCTTATCATGTACATATGTATATCGATTCTATTTCAAAATTAAGTTGCGAACAAGTCCACCCGAAAGCAGATACGTGTCTCTTAAGGTTTCGTATGTTTTTTAAATTGTCATATTTTTTTTAAATTTTTTTTTTTTCCAAATAAAATTGTTGATATCAAAGTACCTGTCATTAAATATGAACATAATGTGATAATATTTAATATTTAAGATCGGCAATCGCGAGTCCTTTGTGAAATTGTGCCCGAGTTGTTTTATATATTTTCCTATCTTAGAATAGTGGTGGAAGTTTGAAAAGCGTATTCGAAATTTAATGAATATTGTTGATTACAATAAGCCATAATAGAGAGCCAATTTAGTAAAAAGTTTTCAACTGCGTTCACTTTTAAAGCAAATTCCATTTGCCAATCGGTTAAACATTGCAACAATGCACTATATACTATTGTGCAAATTTTTGGGATTTATTCGAAAAATGTCTGTCAGATTTCGTATAATGAAATGTTTATCTACACACATACAACGCACATAATTTCATTATTATTCTTTCATGCATCAACTTAACTAA